CTGATCGTCGGTTAGATCAGTCACCCTCTGCTAAAGCAGCATAACATGGTTGTGTGCAATGAGCTTGTAGCAAGTGCTGCTATAGTGGTCAGTCCGGTATGACGTGAAATTCATTTGAGATTTTTATCAGTAATGCGCCTTACAGACATCATTAACAGTAAACGTTTTGGCCTGCAGGTGTTTTGCACTCGTTTTCATGGCGCATCCGTGAAATAATTTGCACTATTCCTCTGTTCTGGATTACGTCGAATTTCGGATTGACCTTGAGATGTGTTTGTATACTTTATAACTCACAGCGATTTTGGTCGATTTCCTTATACGCAGTGAATTTATAAGTTGTTGTTTGAAACCCTGAAAAAGATACTTTTTGAGGACATTTACTAAAATAGCCAGTGTTCTGTCGTTCGTTTTTATGTAAACAGTCGCCCGGGTCCCATTTAAAGACTTACTAAAACATAATGTCAGACTGTCGAAATCAGTGGACGTCTTGAGAAACAGCCAACAACGAATATACATTTGGTCAATTAGAAAAATTTCTCTGGCGGTCTATCTTTTAGGAAATACATTAATATTGCAATATATTGACATTTGTCTGTGTAAGTCATACGTAGTACGGCAGAGCCCAAAAAAACTTGATGATCTTGGTCGTTTGCTTTATGTTCTTATAAAGCATTCAAAACGGGTGATGAGATGTCAGCAATCAGCAACTCGCATACCGGCTACCAAGCCATTAGCGCACCAGCGGGCAACCATCCTTGATGAAGGGGAGCACGGTTAATTGTTGTAGGTATGTGGTAGCATAGCGACCGCATCCTATAAATACTGCGACTTCCTGTGCGCAAGTCACCCTTTTCTGCAACTGTCTCTAATGATGGATTCAAGTAAGAATCCGAAACGTCAGGCGAATAAAGCCATTGTTCCAGCGATCGTTTCTTCTTCTGATCAACTGGTTCCTGGAACTTTGGGGTATAGGATGTTTCTATGATTAACGATAACGTTAGGATAAATATAACGACGAAAATGTAGTAGTTTCGGACTGACAGAATGGAAACGAGCGAGTAAAATCGAATATACGGTATAGATAACGTGAAAAATTGTGAAATGATTAACGCGTGGATTGTTTTCCAGTATGAATGCTTTCATTTCAACAAAACAAGATCAAATTACAACCCTATTATGACCGCGAATGTAAAACCGAACAGTGCTGGCCAGGTTTGGCAGTCCGCAGAATAGGAATCCTAGGTGCCTGGGTGTAGGGGCAGAACAATTCAAATGCATCACATATAACGGTTATAATATCATGTTCCTAGCAAACAGTAATACCTTTAAATTCTAATGCACTTTACCGATTTTCTGTGCAAGAAACGATTAATAATGGGTTCGTACATTAGATGGAATCAAGAACATCGAGCAAGAAGCGGCTGGCATTCTGAATTAAAACAAGAAGACGGATAACTTTTTCGTAAACATAAAGCCACAAACTTCGTTTTGCACATAAGTCCTTAATTTACCCCATTACGGAATGCAATAATTTATCCTATCGCAAGTTGCCTGACCGAAAAAAATATTTTCGGAGAAAGCCCACAAGTGGTAGGCGTGCGATCAGCAGGAAAATTTGAATGCAATTTGCTTTCAGATTTCCAAAAGAAATAAACTTTTGTTATTATCCGGCATTTTGCCACATACTCTGTAGGCTTACTTCCGTTCTGATAAGACCGGCAGGCGGGAGGACGACACTACTGCCAGCAGCAGGTTCTCTTGAAGCAGCAAGGAACATCTGTAGTTGTTCATCCAACTTCGACATGTAGTGGGCATTGTTAACATGCCAAAAAATGGACCTAATACTTCTGCAGTAAACGGTTAAACTGAGATCAGTGCTGAAGGCAATTAAAGTCAAATCATGCCCGTGACTTCAGTTAAGTTGTCCCATAGCACAGATGAGCTTTACTGAAGTCAACATTCCTGATGCGGATGGCAAATAACGCCCTCCATGTATGGTCTTCAACTTTGTCTGCGCAGGTTAATCATTGTCATGCTGAAATGTGGAAACTTGACTTTTCAGTAGGGGACAGTCATGCTGTTCAGGTCGAAAGTGTAAACGCAATGTGGGCATTGCAAGTAAAGATACCCGAAGGAGGATGTTAGACTCGTTAGCGGGAAAGCTAAAACGGAAATGGGCAACCTGCTGTTTCGGTTTAGAGTAGGTTTTAGTTTGGGGTTAGTTTTAGAATGAAAATCGAGTTTAAAGTAAGATTTTGTGTTAAGTTGAATGGTTTTGGCTAGAGTCACGATTTTCATTGCGGTTAAGGTTTACGATTAGTGGTAAGGTTGGTGTAAGGGTTAGTGTCAGGGGTAGGGTAGGTTATAGTTAAGGTAGACGTTAGGATTACGGTTAAGGTTAGGATTTGGAAGGATTACTTAAGTAGGGTTGTAAAATTGATTATCAAGCGCATAATCCAATATTATTTCGGACTTGCCAGGATGTCTGCTTTTGAATGCACTTCTTTTTGTCCTCCTGCAGAAACCACACTCGGTAATAAATGGCAACTTATGTAGTATGCATTTTCCTACTGATTTTCGATGGCCTTATAAATTCAAATAGAGTTTATAGAGAACCTGCACTAATATGCTTTTTTACTCCTTTGGTAGAAAACCAAGTTGTCTTTGCATTGTGCGTCGGATGAACGTGTATATTCTGGTTCTAAAAAACTTTCTGAATTCGCGAATAATTTCCAGTCTGATCTGCCATTGCATCAGCGTTCAGCAATTTCAGTCTACAAGGTGCATGTTTTCCGCGTAAGCAAAATAATATATTCCTCTATGCCTTTCAGAAGATATCACATAGAGTTCATGAAATTTTGCAATGGAGCCGGACTGTGTTGTACATTTCACGAGGAGCATTAGTGAACGGACATTTGCGGTGTTGCATGCACGGACATCGTACGGTCTTAAAAATCTCATAAATAGAAACTTTATAAAACCAAAATATAAATTTTATCGGGCATAAAACATGAAAACAATGTGATTTCCTACTAAATAAGCAAAAGAAAGCAAATTTTTGTGCATGTTGTTTACAAAATATATTTGTATTTATAATATCATCGAAAATTAATAGGAATAATGCATGCCATATAAGTAGTCATTTCTTGCCGAGTGTGCTTTCTGCAGGAGGTAAAAAAGAAGTACATTCAAAAGCTGACATCCTGGCAAGTCCGAAATGTTATAGGGTTATGCCGCATGATAATCGGTATAAGAACCCCATTTAAGTAATCCTTCCTAGTCGGATACACATTCCAAAATTGCAGCCAACGTTTCATGAGATCGGTCACGCACTGTACGTTAAAGAACAGATTTACTTTTGAGGTTAAAACTAAGTTGACCATTGTGTTTGAAGAATGGTAGTCCGGATCTTTTGCTGAGATTCTAGGTTTCCTTCAATCTTGCGGCAAACATGCCATACATCAAGATGATTTTTTTCGTTCCAGTACCCACAGATGAATTCAGCATCTCCCCATCGGTTTACTTTGCTTGCAGTATCCCCATTGCGCTAAAACTTGGTTCCAGAACAGTTTTGTCGTGAAAGTCAGTTCAGTGTTCCGACTGGTGGCGGAGGGGTCATCAAGATTGGTCATTGAACTGCGCCTGCATGAAAACTTGCGCAGTCATACTTGCAGCCGAAGGACACTGAGCTCGTTGTCTACAGTGGTTAAGAAACTAGGCAGTGAATAACATCGTATTGTAGTTCAGTCTGCAGGCTCACTATCGCCAGAAGAAATTGCAGCATGGTTTAATGGCCTTTGATATGCCGGAAATGGCCATATCATAAACAATAATTATTACTGGCAATATTTCTCCCTGACTATTCAACAGCATATGATGCATAATCGGGCTGAAAGGTTTTGCTGACATTTAATATGACGGAGTCGCTCCATTTATATACAAAATTCCTGCAACATGATTGATAGTCTGGCAGTTCTTTGAGTTTAGGAATTAAAACAGCTGAACTCACTTGGGTCATCCGTTGGCAATGTTACATTGACACCGGGTGCAATGTAGTCGCCGTTCGAGTGAACTGTTTGCACCCCAAATTCATATTTGCTGTTGGAAGTCAGACGGCTAATGTTTACTTTCCTGTACATAGTTATTCTTATAGGTATCCCACTTTTAAGTATGCAGAAGAGCGCTGGAGTAGTTATTGAAATATTAGGCTGCTTCCAGGAGAGCTGTACGGAGGTAAGACTTAATATCACGGTGGTGGGCTCTCTTGTGTTCAGATCACCTAAGTGGAACGTGTATACAACAATAGAAGGGTGACTGGAGTAAATGAGAGTAATAGTTACTGTCTGTACATACGATTGATTTATTTACCAATGATTTATTTATTTATTTATTTACCAATGCATATCACCATCCAAAGAGCCGTTAACCACACCGAAGTGTCCAGATCAATTGCAGTGCAATACACGATAATTTATGGAGGTCGTTAGACGTGCCTTAATGAGGATATTGTACAGATGGAATTTACGAAAATATTGTTTTCAAACAAAATCGCTGTCCTATCGAGAAACATCTCACAACATCGCATCGTTTTCATACCTCGCATAAAGATACTGATTCTGTTGTGTTCAGAATTTGTTTTAGGATTTTCGGCAAATGAATTAATATATTTGCGGTCGCCTTCGTGCGTGTTTGTTTGGGCCTTGCGCCACCACCACCACCACCACCTCCTCCTCCTCATCATCATCATCAGCGGTGATGATGATAATCATATCTGCTGGCGACAATGATTCCTCCCGAAAGCCATTCATTTGTTCCGAAAGTGAGCATCTCCCTCGTAAAAAATAACCGGTTCATACATTTCATTCCTTGCAGAGGCAAACACATCATCAATAATCGGTCGCCTTAGGTGTTGGGCACTCCACACACATTCGACGTTTTCAAAAAAAGACGACAAAACAGCTTACATTGCAGGTCGTTTATTTAACAAAAAATGCACAAGTTTACGCGTGAATGTTTACAGCTCCTTTGATCCTTTCGAGCGTCTCCAGTGGATTCTTCGACGACCAGCTCCAAAATGTCAAGTCGTTGCTAACATCAGCTGATCCGCCTACTGCCGTGAAAGTCTGCGCCGTGTTTCCTGAGCCTGCAAATTGTGAATAATTCCAGTGAAATTCTATTTTCATAAATATCAAAATAGAAAAATTAGCATACGATTTGCACAATACAGGTAGTAAAAAATTATTTCAATAAAACCCGGAGTAGACAAAGTAAGCTTTAAAAGCAGTACCTACTGAAGACGCTTTAACCATTTGGCTGCATAATTCTCGTAAAAATCTGTATTAATAAGCGGACGATTTGCACTACAAACGGACTACCATCGGCCATAACCTTGTTGTGTTTAAGATGTCGAAACGCCATGCAAAGTCACATTTTCACATGGTTGCCATCATACGCGCTGTCTTAATCATCCTCAAAGAGTGGATTACGCAGAAAAGGACATGAAATGGCATGCAAGAGAGATAGATAGGAGAGTGGAGAATGAATGTAGTCACACTGCGCGTCAGTGTAGAGCAAAGCAGGAAGAGACATCATTACCGAGAGCAAAGACGGCGTCGGTGGAGGTGAGAAGAGAGAAATGTCCGCGGGGTTCCTTCATGCCGGCCAAATCTGTCCACTGGCCCCGGGGACACCCGGCATCTGGTGGTGTGAACATCTCCACCACGTTTGATCTGCTTACACCATCATCAAATGCCCCAGCGACAATGATTTTCCCACGAAAGTGTGTCGCTGCCAGCCCGTATCGTGCAGTTCTCATGGGTGCGGCTGGCTGCCAAAAGTCCGATAAGGTCGCCCTCTGTCGCCAGTCTGCTCGCAGGTGGCAGAACTCCACGGAAGCCAGCGTGGAGAGGAGTCATTATGACCGCCAAAAACGAAGACTACTGTCGCCGGGCAGGCAGGCACGCAGCAGCTGTGTCGTTCCTTTTCTCTCGCAGATCGGGCAGTTTGAACCACCTGTGTGTTGGGGAGGAGACGATTGAGAAGGCAAAACAGGAAGATTTTGCAAGAAAAAAAAGGGAGGCGCCAGGACGAGTGTGCTCTCACCTGTCCCGACTGACTTCATAGACTTCACAAGAGGAAAGGCATCCACCGTTGTATCCACCGAAAACGCCGATAAGCGCCTCCCCTCCGGCTTTCGTCACGACAGCGGCAGCGTACCCGTTGCGTCCAACGCCGAGCGACGCCCGTTTGCACCAGCGCCGTTCGCCCACCAGAAACTCCTCGACACTCGTGGAGAACCTCCCTTGCGCAGTGTCTCCTCCAACCGCGAAAATACTCTCTTCCGTGGGGGTGGGGTGGGATAGAAAACATTTTCATAAAATTGCGCGGAAGAAAGACAAAGTTGAAAGGTAAAAGAAGATAGGAAAGATAAAATAAAAAGGCGCGTAGTTGACAGAAAGAGGGGAAATATCATCATCGGACGAAAAGACGTGGATGGACAAATCTCCCATTTGAGTGGCCGCCAGTGACGGACACAAACCACGCAGGTAGAGACACGGTTGGGTAAATTGCAGACGGAAAAAACAAACGCTTCGGGACAGGCCAAGCGAATAAACAACGCCAAGACCTCAAAACTCCTCAACTACTACTACTACTACTACTACTACTACTACTACTATTACTACTACTACTATTACTACCACTACTACTACTGGCAAAAAGAGACACCAACTGGTCAAATTAGACAAAGAGGAAAACAAGGCAGGTGCGCAGAAGAGGAGCTGCGTAACTGTCAGGCAACTCACCGCCCACGAGACTGTAGGAGGCCCATATGTGTTCCTCCATGTCGGCAATCCGTTCTTCCTTTCCCAGGTGCGGATTGAAACGCAGGACAGACCACCTGTGCTGAATTTTGTCCTTTCCAAATACGAATAAGATCGTCTGTGGCAGTCTCCAACGTCGGTTGAAGGGACACGGAGGCTTGCATTTGTCTGCGTAGGTGATCCACTGCTCAACTTTAGACATAAAACGAGTTTCATTAGAAAATAAATGACTAACTGAAACAGCATATACTTACGCACAGCTGATGCTATCCTGGAACATTGGATGACTATCTACTAGGCGAATGCGGAATTGGACATTCGTCTGACACCAACGAATCTCTCTCAACATCTCCGCGGCGTGCAATCTCAGCCTCTCATTATCGCACTCTTTATCGCCAGCATCTACCCAGCTTGAAATGGCCTCAAAAACTGCCTCTTCGGAGTCAACTAACAGATTGTCGTTTCGCAGCAATTCAGCACGGTGCCAGCTGGCAGGCGAACAAAGAGGTCACTAGAGACGAAACTCATAAACTGTGCTTGCATCAGATTGATGCAAGTCTCCATCAGTGAGCCCATATTCGAAGATCTAGCAAAGTCCCATGTGGTTGCCAGATTATCTAAATTCACTCTTTAAAGCGCTCAGTTAGGCAGAAAGAACCGGCACTTGCTTACCTATTGGTCATGAATTGCACTCCCCAATTCTCCAGATCAGACAGTTTCATCATTTTCGCAAACATCACTATGCCCATCGCATTCGCTTGGGTCATCTCTAATTGCCCGGTGTACACATACTGGATGAGTGAATTTGCGAGGCTAGAAAGTGCAAAGGCAAAATCAGAGAAATGAGGACGATTTTACCCCATAGGCACCGTCGGTCATTTTAGGACCGAATTATCCTTCCCGAGGGGGCCACCGAGAACAGCTCGCAATGACGGAATACGAGCCGCTAGTATTATTCGATGGGCATTGAGAATAGCGCCGTCCTTCACCTAACAAGCATGAACGAATTTCCGTGTAATGAACGGCAACAGGAAGGAGAGCTACGTCTATGGCGAGCTCTTTGAATTCTCCCGAAGTTCGAATCTCGTTGAGGGCTGGACAGCTAAGAACTAGGGGAAATGCGTCTTCGAATAATTCGACGTCTGCGAGCGCCATTTTGAGTGATAACCGGAACAGGAACGAAGAATTATCTCGAGTGCCATTAGCACTGCCTCTTATAGTGCCAGCGCACTTTGAACCCGCCCGCACGCACTCATGACCTTCAGGTCCTGAATGGCCGATTTCAGCAAAGAGCGGATTCGATTAGGCGATAGTCAGCATAATTATGTGGTGTAATGCATAGGCGAGAACCCCAAAGTTATTTTTATTGGTCGGGGCTAAGCGAGCTAGAAACCGCCGATGGCGTACGTTCAAGGCCAGATGGACTGACGGAAATTTGTTCATGCTTGTTAGGTGAAGGATGGTGCTATTCTCAATGCCCATCGAATAATACTAGCGGCTCGTATTCCGTCATTGCGAGCTGTTCTCAGTGGCTCCCTCGGGAAGGATAATTCGGTCCTAAAATGACCGACGGTGCCTATGAGGTAAAATCGTCCTCATTTCTCTGATTTTGCCTTTGCACTTTCTAGCCTCGCAAATTCACTCATCCAGTATGTGTACACCGGGCAATTAGCGATGACCCAAGCGAATGCGATGGGCATAGTGATGTTTGCGAAAATGATGAAACTGTCTGATCTGGAGAATTGGGGAGTGCAATTCATGACCAATAGGTAAGCAAGTGCCGGTTCTTTCTGCCTAACTGAGCGCTTTAAAGAGTGAATTTAGATAATCTGGCAACCACATGGGACTTTGCTAGATCTTCGAATATGGGCTCACTGATGGAGACTTGCATCAATCTGATGCAAGCACAGTTTATGAGTTTCGTCTCTAGTGACCTCTTTGTTCGCCTGCCAGCTGGCACCGTGCTGAATTGCTGCGAAACGACAATCTGTTAGTTGACTCCGAAGAGGCAGTTTTTGAGGCCATTTCAAGCTGGGTAGATGCTGGCGATAAAGAGTGCGATAATGAAAGGCTGATATTGCACGCCGCGGAGATGTTGAGAGAGATTCGTTGGTGTCAGACGAATGTCCAATTCCGCATTCGCCTAGTAGATAGTCATCCAATGTTCCAGGATAGCACCAGCTGTGCGTAAGTATATGCTGTTTCAGTTCGTCATTTATTTTCTAATGAAATTCGTTTTATGCCTCAGGTGGAGCATTGGATGCTCTACGCAGGCAAGGAATGGCCATTCCAGTCTCCCTTATCTTTGTCGGTAAT